ACCAATTTAGGGTCACTCGGGACAAAAAGATGAGGGGTGGGATGGGAGAGGGCTGGGGGTATGGGAAACTCTGTCTGCCTGCCCCTTCCCGCCGGAAAGAGACCCCAAAGCCAGGGGCTTGGGTGCCTGCCTAAAACCCATGGCATCCCCAGCTCTGAGTCCCGGAGCCCGGCCTGCGAAGCTCTCCTGCCGTGCCTGCCTCGAATTCCAGAACCTAGAAGCCAGCCTCCACGCCTCTGCCCAAGCTGTGCCCTGCCAGTGGCCCGTCTCTCCTGTAGCACAGCCTTCAGGAGTGGCCACCTGTGCCACCTCCTCCAATGGCTCCTGTCCCTTCTCACTGAGTACTCCTTTCCCAAGGCAGTCCGAGCAGACTGAGAAGCCATGCGGTGCCATCTCTGGAAGGGCAGGGCTGTATCGGATTCCCAGCACCATCCTTAGCACTCGGAACAGGCCCTGGCATCCACCTAAGTGCCCCATGAATGTCTGGCCATGGCTGGGGCCTCCCTAATTTCTTGTTCCAGCTGGACATCTCTCTAGAACCCCAACTTGGACATCCACCAGCATCACCTGGACTTCTGGAATCTTCCCCAAACTGCCAACCTCAGAAAATGGCACTAGAACCCACTCAGTTGCTCAAGCCGAAATCCAGAAGCCATGCTGGACACTCTCTGCCCCTCAGCATCAAATCCACCAGCAAGTCTAGTTGATGCCACCTCCCACATAGATCGCAAATACAGTGCCGCACGCCTGTCCCGCTGCCTGCACCATGGCCCAGGCCACCATCATCCCACTGCTCATGCCTCTGCTCTACAAATTATTTCATACCTCTCCTCTTTCAAGAGGTGGAGCTCAATTCTCCTCCCTCTGAGTGCTGGCCAGACTGAGTGATTGGCTTCTAGTGAATACAGTATGGTGGAGGAAGAACGTGAGACTTTGGAGACTGGGTCATTAAGGGCACAGTGGGTTCCTCCTGTGTTCTTTCTCAGATCACTTGTTCAGGGGGAAGCCAGTTGCCATGCTGTGAGGACACTCAAGCAGCACTATGGAGAGGCCCTTGCGGTGAGGAACTGAGGCCTCCTGCCAACAGCCACGAGAATGAGTCCTGGTAGAAGCACATCTGCCAGCCCCAGTCAAGCCTTCGGATGACAGTAGCCCCAGTCCACAACTTGACTGCAGCCTCATGACGGTCCCTGAGCCTGAACCGCCCAGCTAAGCTGCTCCCAGATTCCTGACCTTCAGACACTGCAGGAGCACTAACAAATGTTGAAGGCACTACATGCTGGGATAATCTGTTACACAGCCACAGAGCTGCTCAGAGCTCAACAGATTTCCACTTTTCCTTATTTTGCACCATTCTCTGGGGAGCAAATCGAAAATGGCATTCTCCTGTTTAAGAGCCCATCAGAGCTGCCTGTCACATTCAGAATAAAAATATCAACTCCTCTGTCAGGGGCTTCCAGGCCTGCATAACCTGGTGACTGTTCCCTGTTAGGTCTCCCTTCCTACTAGTTTCCCCTTCAGTTTGGCCCCACCAGCCTCCTTCCTGTTCCTCAGCCACACCAAGCTCACTCCCACCTTTGAACCTGCTCTTCCCCCTGCCAGGAGCACCTGGCCTGGACACCTCCCTGGGGTCCTTCAGGTCTCCCCTTCAATGCCTCCCCCGTGTGTCCCTCCCTGACTACACTGTCTAAAGGGGCCCCTGGGACCCATTCATTTTCTTTAATTTCATTGTGCACAGGACATTATTTTATCATACTCTCCATGGTACTTTTCACCATCACCTTTATTAGTGACCCGTTTCTTTGTTTACCAAGGAGGTAGGTGTACACGGTAGGAGGACTGGGGTTTACCGTGGGTTTTGTTCAAGGCTGTAACTCCGGTGCCTGGCGTTAGAAGGCACAAGAAGACATGTCTCTCACTGTCCCTCACTCCCAGTTATACAGCCCCCACCCAGGGAACGCCGCTCCCTGCACCAATGCTTACCTTCTCGGATCCATGCAAGAAGTCATTGAGGGCCTGTGGGTCACTGGAAGAGAAGAGGAAGAGACGCTGAGGAGGTAAGGAGCTGGGGAGGGGAGGGTGGGAGGGGTTTGAGACAGAGGGTAGTGGGGTGGGGAGCCCGTTACTCACCAAATCACGTCTAGTAAGCATCTCCCATCCTCATCATCCATCGCCACTGGATGGGGTGGGGTCAGGAAGAGGGCGAGGGAGACAAGGTTAGATTTTGGCAGCTTGCCTGGCCCCCTCCCTTCAGGGGAGCCCCCTGGAGGGGGTCAGAGTTTCTGTTCTCTTGAGTCCATGGGGATAGATGGGGACAAGGAACACCTCCCAGGTGCCCTCCCAGCCAGAAACCCCTGACCAGGGACAGGGTCCTTTTCCTCCCCCTCCAACTCTCCCAGCCCCTGATGATGATATCACCTGAGACTAAGTGAGTCCTGCCTGTGCTTCACACACACTGAGCTAATCCTCAAGTATCGCAGGAGGGGCCCTGCGGCCTAGGAAGCCTGGCTCCCGAGCCTGCTCTTCACCACCCTGCTGTCCTGTCTCCCTGGACATGGGGCGTGTGGTGAGAGTCTGCCCTACATATAAACGGGTGAAGGAGTGACAGAGCCAGTGTGGGCAACGAGAAGGGCTTTGTGGCTCAAGGCTCTGGGTGGTCCTTGAAGACGTCTACAGTGTGTTACCAAAGAGGAGGGTGGTGGGGAAACTGAGGTAGAAGCAAGGGAGAGGGGCTCATGAGGATGGGCGCTCTGAGTCAGAGAAGCCACCGGGGCAAGGCTGAGCCCATGATCTGAATGATGAGGATGAGGATGGCTAACATCTGTCGAGCGCTCGCTAGGTGCCAGGCACCGTCTGAGTGCTTCAGCGATGTTAGCTTGTGCCACCCCCACGGGGAAGGGATGGTTAGTCCCATCTGACACCAGGGGAAGCAGATGCTCTATGTATTTACCCATCCACCCTCCCATCCACCTAGGCTTTGTCCCTTCAAACACCCCTCCAAATATTCCTCCCACCCTCCAAAACATCCCTCCCTTCCCTGCCTCCATCCATCCATCCACCTCTTCATCCCTCCAACATCAAACCAGCCCTCAGAAACATTTAACCAGCCAACCGTCCCTCCAAAGCTTCCTCCTTCCTCCCTCCAGCCATCAGTCTCTTCTGCCCTCCATCCTTCCACCCATCTACCTACCCATCCTCCATCCTTCCACCCATCTTCCTACCTATTTTCCATCCTTCCACCCATCCTTCCACCCATCTACCTGCCCATCCTCCATCCTTCCACCCATCCTTCCACCCATCTACCTGCCCATCCTCCATCCTTCCACCCATCTACCTACCCATTCTCCATCCTTCCACCCATCCTTCCACCCATCTACCTACCCATTCTCCATCCTTCCACCCATCTACCTGCCCATCCTCCATCCTTCCACCCATCCTTCCACCCATCTACCTGCCCATCCTCCATCCTTTCACTCATCTATCTACCCATCCTCCATCCTTCCACCCATCTACCTACCCATCCTTCATCCTTCCACCCATCCTTCCACCCATCTACCTACCTATCCTCCATCCTTCCACCCATCCTCCATCCTTCCACCCATCCTTCCACCCACCGCCCCGTCCTTCTATCCATCTACCTGCTCATGCCTCCATCCTTCCAAGCTCCCATCCAACCACCCCTCCTTCCCTTCTGCCAAACACCCACACAGACCCATCCTTCCGTCACTCATCCCTCCATCTCTTCCTGCACCCTCTGACCACCTCTCCTCCCAATGACACACAAAATACACAATGGGAAAGAAGACCCCATCCTTGAATGGTGGGAATTTACAGCTCAGAACCATGGAGTGCCCTTACTCTCTTTTTCCCTTGGGGTAGGGGATCTCAAACCTCACTGACAATGTGACAACTGCCATGGGTCACCATCCCCACCCAAAAACCCCACATATGAAATCTTACATGCACCCTCGGCTGGTTCACAGCCCCTCACCCTGACAGCACACTCTCAACTCCCCTAACGGGTGGCCTCCTCAGTGCCACCCGCAGGTCCCCCATCCCCGATGCTGTTACATAATGAAGAGCCCCGGCCAGGGACCTCCCACAGTGGGCTGGGGTGGGGGGGCAGTATTTGCTGAATCATGCTGTGAAAAATCTGATGACACATGCACATTTCATGCCAAAACATGCATGTGGGTGAAAAATGTGACACATACTTTCCCAGGGTTCACAGGATGCCCCTCCCTGCAGCGCAGACAGACACACATGCATCCCTGGAGCCCCACACGACAATTACTCTCCCTCTCAGGGGCTGGCTGTGGCAACTGTCCCCAAGGAGGCTCCTCTTGCTGCCTTAGGAAGCGGTGAGGATGTGCTCTCACCTGCCCCATATCCCCTGTGGCTCCTCCAGGCTTCCTTCCCCAGTCTCACCACATCCACGACCAAAGAGCCCCTTCCCTCCCCAACCCGCCCACAGAGGGCACGAAAAGGTATGGTCTGCAAAGAATCTGGAGAAGAGGGAAAAGGGGCAGGGAGGAAGATTTTGCCTGCAGCTAATGCAGAGGCAGGGGGATGGCCCAAGTGACCCAGGGGGTCCGGATGGGAAAGAGCCGGAGATGTTGCTTAGCTAGGCTTTGCCAGGAAGGAATGCTCCTTCCTCATCCAGGGGCCAGGGTGGGGCTGGGGAGGTGGAATGAGGGACAGCTGTCCCTCCAAGAACAAATAGGGATGCTTTGCTGGTTACCTGCGCTACAAACGAATCATGAAGGGAAGGAGGGGCGTGTCCACTCCAGGTCTACGCGGGGCCCCCAGCTGGGGACTTGGAAAGAGTCCTCTTGGGGGCCAGCTGTGGAGAAAATGAGAGGCAGGCAGTGAGTAAATAAGTCAGAGAAAAGGAAAGAGACGTGATCAGAGATGGACAGAGCTATGGAAGGCAGACGGGAGAGGGATGGATTAAGGAGGGGACGAAAGAAAGATGGGCGGCTGGAACGGTGACGTTCAAGTGAAGTTTAAAAACAGACACAAGTTTAAAATCACACAGCATGGCTGGTGTGGTCGCTCACGCCTGTAAACCCAACACTTTGGGAGGCCGAGGCAGGCGGATCAGGAGCTCAAGAGTTCGAGACCAGCCTGTCCAACACCATGAAATCCCGTTTCTACTAAAAATACAAAAAATTAGCCAGGCATGGTGGCAGGTGTCTATAATCCCCAGCTACTCGGGAGACTGAGGCAGGAGAATTGCTTGAACCCGGGAGGCGAAGGTTGCAGTGAGCTGAGATCACGACACTGCACTCCAGCCTGGGCAACAGAGCAAGACTCCATCTCAAAAAAAACAAAAAGATACAAGTTTAAAACGGCTAGCGTGGCGGCACATGCCTGTAAACCCAGTACTTTGGGAGGCTGAGTTAGGAGGACCGCTGGAGCCCAGGAGTTCAAGACCAGCCTGGCTGGGCAACGTAGGGAGATCTTGTCACTACAAAATGAAATTTTTTTTGGCTGGGCACGGTTGCTTGCCTATAATCCCAGTTACTCAGGAGGCTGAGGCAGGAGGATCGCTTGCACCCAGGAGGTCAAGGATGCTGTGAGCTAGGATTGTGCCACTGCGCTCCAGCCCGGGCGACAGTGAGACCCTGTCTCCAAAAAAAAAATTAAAATCACACAGAACAACACTATACATACCAGGATCCCATGCGTATACTACATATATGTAGCACACACACTATGGCATGTAACGTTATACTAAGTCATGTACCGGCACTCCAGTCTAACAGGATGCAGCCGGTCCTGCTATTTGCAATAGAGAGGTTCTAGAGGGTCACAGTGGACACGGAGGCGCTTCTCCTGGGGGAAGCGCGAGGCCGGGTTGCTGCCAGGCTCTGGCCGCAAGGTTTTTCACCCATCAATCGATACAGCACCTTGACTTACACGCGTTTCTGTACGAAGACATCTTATTTAATGCATCCTGTTGACTGATTCACATTGAACTCATGGCCAACAGGACGGTAACTCCCACCCGAAGGAAGCTTCTCTAACACAGGTGTTTTCTCCATAAGGCACATCACAGCCTTACAGCCCTTAGGAACACCAGACTTCTGTACCCTGCTTGGATCCGTTTTATTATTTATTTACTTACTTATTTTATTTATTTAATTTTTTTTGAGACAGAGCCTCGCTCTGCTGCCCAGGCTGGAGCAGTGGCGTGATCTCGGCTCACTGCAACCTCCGCCTTCCGGGTTCAAGCAATTCTCCTGCCTAAGCCTCCCAAGTAGCTGGGATTACAGGCATGCACTACCACACCCAGCTAATTTTTGTATTTTTAGGAGAGACGGGGTTTCATCATATTGACCAGGCTGGTCTCAAACTCCTGACCTCGTGATCTGCCCAACTCAGCCTCTTAAAGTGCTGGGATTACAGACGTGAGCCACTGCACCCAGCTCTATGCTTTTATTTTTTGTGAGACAGAGTCTCGCTCTGTCACCCAGAGTGGTGTGATCTCAGCTCACTGCAACCTCCGCCTCCTGGTTTCAAGCAATTCTCTTGCCTCAACCTAGCTAGTAGCTGGGATTACAGGCATATGTCACCACACCCAGCTAAGTGGAGACAAGGTTTCACCATATTGGCCAGGCTGGTCTAAAACTCCTGACTTCAAGTGATCTACCCATCTCGGCCTCCCGAAGTGTTGGGAACAGGTGTGAGCCACTGCCCCTGGCCTAGGGGCCATTTTAAATAGAGAAATCACCAATAAGAAACACAAAGACAGCAAGGTGTGGTGGCTCATGCCTGTATCCTGGCACTTTGGGAGGCTGAGGCAGGCAGATCACTTGAGGCCAAGAGTTTGAGACCAGCCTGGCCAACATGACAAAACCCATCTCTATTAAAAACAGAAAAAAAGCCAGGCGTGGTGACGGGTGCCTGTAGTTGCAGCTACTGAGGCATGAAACTGCTTGAACATAGGAGGCGGAGGTTGCAGTCCGCTGAGATCACGCCACTTGCATTCCAGCCTGGGTGACAGAGCGAGACTCCGTCTCAAAAAATGAAAAGAGGTACACAAAGATGTGAAAAATGCGGCACTAAACAGACGGCAAAAAGGACGCTGCTTTGCAATCTGAGCTGAAACGAGAAGTCAGGGTGCCGCTGGGCCCGACCTCGGCTGGGAACCTACATGTCCGGCGTCACTTTTTTGGCCACTCTACCCACTTCTGCAAATGGCCAGCACTGCTTTGAGGTTACCAATGTTCGCAAGCCGGTGAATTTGCAAATACGCGATCTGTGAAGAACAAGGACCGACTGTAACGATGATAGCCCACACCGATTGCATGTCCACCATGTGCTGGGTGCTGGTTTAGGTACCCGGCATGTGTAACTCATTCCGCTTTCCCTAAGTCCCAAGAGGCAGGTGCTTCTGTGATCCCTACCCAGTAGATTAGGAAACAGGCTCAGAGAGCTTAGTCATCTGCCTAAGATCCTGCAGCTAGTAAGGGGCCAGGCTGCAATTTTTTAATTTTATTTTATTTTTTGCTCTTGTCGCCCAGGCTGGAGTGCCATGGCACGATCTCGGCTCACTGCAACCGCCACTTCCCAGGTTCAAGTCATCCTCCTGCCTCAGCCTCCCGAGTAGCTGGGATTATAGGCATGCAGGCATGCACTACTATGCCCAGGTAACTTTTGTATTTTTAGCAGAGATAGGGTTTCCCCACGTTGGCCAGGATGGTCTTGAACTCCTGACCTCAGGTGGTCCGCCTGCCCCAGCCTCTCAGAGCGTTGGGATGACAGGCGTGAGACATTGTGCTCAGCCCAGGCTGGGATCTGAACTCGGCAGACTGACTGCAGAGGTCCCACCCTTAACCACCACCCCGCAGGCCACCCCCTCCTGCTACTTCTCTCGTAGGATCTGAAACAAATACAGCAGAAACGTTCAGACAGTATCATGGGGCTGGGTGACGGGGCTGTGCGTCCCTGTTATTTTGTGGATGCCTGGGATGCTTCAGATTGGAAAAGGTGATAAAGTGACTGGCATGGAAGAGGGAGGAAGGAACAGGAGTGGCGAGTGGCTCTCCCTCTTCCTCTTAGGTCCCGATACCAGAAAGATCCAGAAAGCAGATGTCACAAGACCCTGGAACACAGGATTCTTTTCCTCTGGAATCCGGGTGCCCTTGCTTCTGGCCTGAAGGTGTGCATGAGCTCCCAAGATGAAGGGTTCACGTCTGTTCATGCCTCCTCCCTGGCTCTGGCAGGTGTGGCCCAAGCACTGCGCATGTCCTACCTACCAGCAGAATTAGAGACAGGAGGGGTGCAGCTCCGGTGGGCCTTCTGCAAACCAGTCCCGAGGGTGAATTTCCAAGTGGGGGCTGCAGAGCTCTCAGTGAGGATGTTGTGTTTGTGTGCTTTCATTCCAATGACAACATTAAAGACACGAACGGGAACTTCCTGGGGAGAGGGAAATGTTCTGTGTTGTGACTGAGGTGTGGTTATATGAGTGTTCAGATTTTGACAGCTGCGCCGGGCGCAGTGGCTCACGCCTGTAATCCCAGCACTTTGGGAGGCCGAGGAAGGCGGATCATGAGGTCAGGAGATTGAGACCATCCTGGCCAACATGGAGGAGAAACCCCATCCCTACTAAAAATACAAAAATTAGCCAGGCATGGTAGCATGCACCTGTAATCCCAGCTACTTGGGAAGCTGAGGCAGGATAATCGCTTGAACCCAGGAGGCAGAGGTTGCAGTGAGCCGAGACCGTGCCACTGCACTCCAGCCTGGGCGTCAGAGCAAGACTCTATGTCAAAAAAAAAAAAACAAAAACAAGAAAAAACTCACCAGAATTTAACAGCTCAGATTTGTGTGTTTCAACACAGGAAATTTTATTTCAAAAAACTAAAAAGGAGGGAGGCGCGGGTAGCTCACACCTGTAATCCCAGCCGAGGCAGGGAGGCTGAGGCAGGAGGGTGGTTTAAGCTCAGGAGTTGGAGAACCAGCCTGAGCAACACAGCAAGACACACGCGGTGGCGGTACCTGTGGTCCAAGCTACTCAGCAGGCTTGTACGGAAATGCTCAGACGCTACTGCAGGGCTGGGTGGCGCCGGTGTGCGTCTCTGTTATTTTGTGGATGCCTGGGATGCCTCGGATTGGAAAAGGTGATAAAGTGACTGGCATGGAAGAGGAAACATGGCCTGGGCTAGAGAGGCAGAGGCTGCAGTGAGCCAAGATCGCACCACTGCACTCCAGCCTGGGTGACCGAGGGAGATCCTGTCTGTAAAAAACCAAAATGCCAGTCGTCAGCATCAGCAGCATCATCCTGGAGTGGTGGTGGGTGGAAGGTGGAAAACAGTGGAACGCTGGGAACTGCTGAAGCAGGTGGTGGATCGATCCCTGGGGCTTCCTCACACCGTTCTATCTACTTGGCATATTTTGGAAACTTTCCATAACAAAAAGGCCGGGTGCAGTGGCTCCTGTCTGTAGTCCCAGCACTTTGGGAGGCCGAGGCATTCAAGACCAGCCTGGCCACTTGGTGAAACCCCATCTCTAATAAAAATACAAAAATTAACCGGGTGTGTGGTGGCACATGCCTGTAATCCCAGGAACTTGGGAGGTTGAGGCACAAGAATCGCTTGAATCCAGGAGGCGGAGGTTAGTGACCCGAGATCATGCCACTGCACTCCAGCCTGGACGACAAAGCAAGACTCTGTCTTAAAAAATAAAAAGAAAGGAAACACACATGTCAATGACAGGAAGGTCTGGGGTTCCCCTTAGATGCCTCCCAACTTCAGGTGCCTGGGCTGGCATCTATGTCTCCCATCAGACTGATGCCAAGAGGCCCTGTGGGGTGACAGTGCCAGGCACAAGTTCTGGGCCTCAAATCCCCACTCCCCAACAAACAGGCTGGGTGACCTTGGGCAAGTGACTTTGTCTCTCTGGGCCTCAATATCTTCCTCTGTAAAATGGGCACGACCATGTCCTCACCTCTCATGTGGCAGGGCAGAGGCACAAAGAACAGGGCCTGGCCTGTGGTTTGAGCAT